TAGCTGAGATGCATATAGGTGTTCAGTGAATATCAGCTAACAATGTTATTATTTTAAGTTATGGCAGTATCCCTTCTGCTCATTTTATATTTATTTGTGTTTGTTTACTCTCCCTCTTCAGATAAGCTTTGAGGGGTGGGTTAAGGATCTTATCTTATTACTTGATATTGTTTTTTCCTCACCTTGCACATTAAGAGTTCACTGGTATGTTGAATTGAATGGTGGGGCCTGCTAAATCTGTTCAGACTGGCTCTGCTTTAAAAGATATGGGACTGTTCTAGCAACGGGGAATTGAAGTTCAGATAATCAGCCTGAGAGACCAGGAGAAAAACACAATGATTGCTGTTTTATTGTGCTAGACAAATGCTTCTTGCTAAAAAATTTGCATTTGACATTCTAATAAAATATGTTTCTCTGAAGCTAATACTTGTAGTGGCTACATGTCTGTAGTGTCTAATAATCTTGTAAATAGAACTTCATATGTGAATATTTGAGAACATTGGGGACATGATCTCGTGGATAGAAGTGAAAAGAAGAATGTAGAATTTCAGCCAGGTTTCAGCCAGTAGGAGATAATGCTGGTAAGTGAAGTGAGGAAATAGAGCTATATCTATAGCACGTGTGAGTGTTGTATATATGCTAGCTTCTGATTTCTGGAAAACGAGGCTTAAGAGAGATAGCAAGTCCCCAAATAGTAAACAAATCTGAATACAGTCAGATTAGGATAATATTGGCAAATTAACAATGAATCATTTAGACCTAACCTGTTCTCAGGTTAAACATTTTCATATCACAGAACTCTTATTTCATATTGACTTTGGATGTCATGAGTAGGTAAGATTAAAGGGCATATTACTATGAAAAACTTTATTATTGCTGACGTTGTAAAATGCGCTATAGAACAAAATTAGATACGAGATAAATGTAGTCATTTTTCTCATCAGAGTACAGAGGAATGTAAACTCAATGTAAAGTGAACTGTTACAGGTGAATGACCTGTCTGTATTTGAAATTACCTGGACTTTTGATTAACACAAAGCTGTCTGGTCCTCTTTTTCTCTTCCCCTCTTTATTTTAGAAAAAGCCATTTTTTTACTCAATGTAAAGTGAACTGTTACAGGTGAATGACCTGTCTGTATTTGAAATTACCTGGACTGTTGATTAACACAAAGCTGTCTGGTCCTCTTTTTCTCTTCCCCTCTTTATTTTAGAAAAAGCCATTTTTTTACTTGGCAGTTATTTATCTTGGTTTGACTTTGGTCTGTGATTATTTCCTAAATTGCGACTTGCTATGGTTTCATGATATAGGTCCCCCCCCTTTTAAAAACTGAATGGTATAAGGAATTTTTACTTAATAGTAGTATTTTAACAATTAGACTGAGACCCGAGACAGCATGATTCCATCATATTGATGCCATCATATGATTATGGTGAGACCTGGATTATGAGACCCAGAGACAGCATGATTACTATCAATATGATGCCATCATATGATTATGATGAGACCTGGATTATGAGACCCGGAGATAGCACGATTACTATCAATATGATGCCATCATATGATTATGATGAGACCTGGATTATGAGACCTGGAGATAGCATGATTACTATCAATATGATGCCATCATATTGAGGCCATTAATTGGAACCGAAATGAACAAAGGATGATCTTGGATGGGATTTTAGAGGGAGGGCAGTCCTTAAAGATTACCTAGTTTGTTTCTCTATTCTTTGATTTGTTCATTCTTTTATTCAACAAGAATTTGAGTCTCTATATGCTTTTCATCAAAGTATGTCTTTTCTCAGATATTACTAATAACACCTTCAACCCAACTCTCTCAAGCCAAAAACCTTAGAACAGTACTGTCAAATATAGAGCCACTAGCCACATGCTGCTATTTAAATTAAGATTAATTAAAATGAAATAAAATAGAAAAATTCAGTCCTGAGTCATATTGGTCACATTTCAAGTGCTCAGTCCAGCACTCCATGTGGCTGGAGGCTACCGTGTTGGACATTGTCGCTCTGTGGAACATTTCCATCATTGCAGGAATTCAGTTGGACAGTGCTGCCCTGGACTATTTCTTTACCCCACACCCCGAGAGACATCTCAGCACCCCATCCACTTCATCTCTCAAGACCTACGTCTCTCAGATTTGTTTACTTTAAAAACTTCTCCCTTGTTTTAGTTTAAGTCTCCATCATCTGTCATCTGAATTAAGGCTCAAATTCAGTGAACAGTTCTGTGAAGCCTTCCCTGCCACTGCCTCCCTCCAGGGTCAGTCATCCCCTCCTGTGTGCTCTGCTAATGCCATGCGTGCACCTCTGTTACAGCCCTGACCACACTGAATGAATGCTGCTTGCTTGTTTACACTGTATGACTTTTCTTCTGGTAGACCCAGAGGCTCTTGGTGCAGGATCGGGCTTTGGTCATTCCAGAGTAGGGACACACAAAATGCCTGACACATAACCACATAAATGTGTGTTTATTGAACAGCTAGAGAGAATCATGGGTGGTTGAAGGGGCTATAGTAGTTGCATTCTGAAGGCTAGAGACAATTTGGATACCTGTAAGCTAGAAGAGAGGAGGGCGTTCCTGGCTGGGGGAGCCTCACAGATGCAAGCCCAGTGGTAGAAAATTATGGGACAACTAATGCTTCTAGATAGTAGCCACAGGGCAGCACTGTCAGCTCCACCTAGAGCTTGACCATGGACATAAACAGAATTGGAATGATGGTGATGTGGATAAATGTGCTTCCCTGTGCTGGCCAGTATTGCACCTCTTAGTAGAAGTGCTGTGTTTCATACTTGATAACCTTACCCTGTAACTTCAAAGGAGTTAAAGATACGCTTTCCAGTATAAAATGAGGCTGCACACTCACAAAGTCTAGTTAATTCTTCAAGACCTTTATGGTTCTTGCCTTATGTTCAAAATGTTAGCAGCTCAGTAGGAAAGAAAAATGCATGTGTACTTGTCCAAAAGGAGACAGTATAACATAGATATTAAGAGCAGTGACTTTGTGGTCAGACTTGTCCTGGCTCTTCCGGTTCCTTGCTGGGTGATCCTGGGCAAATCCCTTCCAATCCTAATATTTTTATTTTTTAATGGAGATATTACCTACCCGTGAGGACTAAGTTTAAATGTATGTGAAGTGTTAGCACTATGCTTAGACCTGAGTGAAGTGTTTACCAAATAATGGCTAATCACAATAATAACTCCATAGCCTTTCACACAAATGGGAAAATTTGTAACTGGGTTTCTCAAAAGAAGAGTTACTCATGGTTCCTAAACATAATGGCCATCTGGAGCACACCTGCAGTGTGGACACTTGCCTTGCCCTTGGGTAGGCGCAGCTAGCTAGAGAGGCCTGTCTCTCAAGTGCGGCATGTGGTGCTGGTGACTCTCAAAATCATCAAGTCAAATTAGCTGATCTGGTGGAGGTAAAATTAGGCCTGGATATTCTAAAACCCAGGGATAATTTTCTTATTCAGAAATGAGGTGATCGCTTATGTAAATTACTTGGGAAAAAACTCAACTTTTCTCTTTTACTCTGCAATCAAGAGCATACTGTACAAATGCTTCTAAGGAAAAGAAAGAAAATTGTGTGCTGCTTTCAATTTTAAATAAGCAAAATAGGAAATGTATAAAATAGAGTATCACTGAATGATGATTCTATATATTTTTTTAAACTCAACTTTTCTCTTTTACTCTGCAATCAAGAGCATACTGTACAAATGCTTCTAAGGAATAGAAAGAAAATTGTGTGCTGCTTTCAATTTTAAATAAGCAAAATAGGAAATGTATAAAATAGAGTATCACTGAATGATGATTCTATATATATATATTTTTTCAGTAGTTTCAAAAGGATGGTGGCAGTCTTAACTGTGTGGATTCCCCACATCTACCAGCCCACGTATAATTCATGCATGTCCAGATATTTCTTTTTAGAGGACTCAAAGTTGCTTTTCTTCCGTACTGGAATTGCACAGTTTCTCCGTTCCCTCCCGTGCCTGGACTGTTTCTCCCCAGCCTCGCTCCTGCCTCCTGTTGACCTCCCTGAGGCTGTTTGGCGTACCCCACCAGCTCTGGGCTGTGGTGCTCTTCCGTGCTTGCATCTACCTTATTGTATTAAAATTATATGCATATATCTGTCACCCTCCCAAAACTGTTGAGTTCTTTCATGAACAGACATTTTCTTCATTTTTGCCCATTCAGTGTTTAAAGAGGGGCTGACTTATACAAGATACTTGGTAAAGTTTTGCTGAACAAATGAATGCTTATTCACTAAACATTTCTTGTATGCATTTTCTCTAAGTAAGCATAACTCTGAGTAGGAAGCTGTATTATTCTTTTTGATACCTCATATCTCTAGCACATTGACAAACAATATTTATTGGATTGGTCTATAGCCTTGATGTTAATATCCAGTATTCTGGAAACACTTTATAGGGTCTATTAAGCAGGTATTAAATCTTTCTTACTATTTTATGCACCATACATATTGTTGAAACATTTATGAAAATGATCACCAACGTTTTTACTACTGAATTTAAATATTGTTCTGGGAAAAATTAATACAAATACTCTTATCAGGTACAGTTCTTACATGAATTATTACTGTTAATTGATTGATTCTGTAGGCAGTAACAAAACCTAAAATGTATGTGCTGTTGAGTAAATGACTTGAATAGTTCAGTTGAATATATCTATAATATACTTGACTTTTTGTTCGTTTGCCCTTTTACTGGTATTTACTGTGAGTCCTTGAAGTTAATTTCAGAGGTTTTTCCAGGATAGGGAGTTGGAATTATATAGGAATTCACAAACCTTATTAGCTCCTTGCTTAAACTAATTAAAAAAGAACTAGTTCTGGGATTAGCGCTCCCTTAATGAAATTGGTGAAATGTGAGATTTGAATTTAAGACTTTCTTGAAGACTTTAATGTATTTTGTCTACTGGTATTTAATTTTGTTTTTGTTTTTGTTTTTTTTAGTTTTAATTTTGATTACTGTTGCTACTGATATCTGAGCCAAAGTGATGATGCTACCTGAGGGAAATTTCTGCAACCCATAAGTCAATGATTATACGGTAAGCATGTATGCTAAATTTTACCCTTAAAACCATTTAATTTCTATAACATTATAGTTTAAAATTTTAATTGGGAATAGGCTAGCATAAAATATTTTAATATTTTGAATATTAAACATTTAATGTTAATGCATTTTTTTTTTTTTAAAGATGACTGGTAAGGGGATCTTAACCCTTGACTTGGTGTTGTCA